GGACCTAACAAATAGAGCCCCCCAAATATATGAAGCAAAAGCAGACAGAATTGACAGAAGAAATAGATATCAATAAGACTTCAATGGCCCACCTTCCATTATGGGTAGAAGATCAACAAGGAAACAGAAGATTTGAAGAATGCCATAAACCAACTGGACCTAACAGAAATGTGTGGAACACTTCATATTCTTCTCAAGTGTACGTGGACTCTTCTGCAGGATAGACCATATGTTACACCAGAAAACAAGCTTCAATAAATTGAAAGGATTTATAGCATACAAAAGATGTACTCCAGTCCCAATGGAATTAAAGTAGAAATCAACAACAGAAGGAAATTTAGGAAATTCACATATATGTGGAAATCAAATAACAAAATAAAAAGCTTTTGCATAGTGAAGGAGACCATCAACAAAATGACAAAGCAACCTACTGAATGGGAGAAGATGTTTGCAAATTATATATCCAATAAGGGGTTAATATCCAAAATACATAAAGAACTTAACACAACATAAAAAAAAACATAAAAAAATTGGTTAAAAAATGGGCAAAGGGCCTAAATAGACATTTCTCAAGAAGACATACAAATAGTCAACAGACACATGAAAAGATGGTCAACATCACTGATCATCAGGAAAAGGCAAATTAAAACCACAATGAGCTATCACCTCATACCTGCCAGAATGGCTACAGTCAACAACACAAGAAACAACAGGTGTTGGTGAGGATGTGGAGAAAAGGGAACCCTCTCTCACTGTTGGTGGGAATGCAAACTGGTGCAGCCACTCTGGAAAACAGTATGGAGGTTCCTCAAAAAGTTGAAAATAGAATTACCATTTGATCCTGTAACTCCACTGCTGTTATTTACCGAAAGAAAATGAAAACACTAATTTGAATAGATCATATGCAGCCCTATGTTTACTGCAGCATTATTTACAATAGCCAAGATAAGGAAGCAGCCCAAGTGTCCATTGATAGAGGAATAGATAAGGAAGATGTTGTGTACACACACACACACACAGTGGAGTATTACTCCGCCATAAAAAGAATGAAATTTTGCCATTTGCAACACTAGAGGGTATAATGCTAAGTGAAATATGTCAGATAAAAAGAGACAAATACCATGTGATTTCACTCGTATGTGGAATTTAAGAAACAAAACAAGTGAACAAAGAGAAAACAAAAGGCAAAGAAAAAAAAAGAATCAAACAAAAAAACAGACTCTTAAATACAGAGAACAAACTGGTGGTTGCCAAAGGGGAGGTGTGGGGGGGGATGGGTGAAATAGATGAAGGGGATTAAGAGTACACTTCTGGTGATGAGCACTGAGTAATAGAACTGTTGAATCACTGTATTGTACACCTGAAGCTAATATAGCACTGTATGTTAACCATACTTCAAATAAATACATAGCCACCAAAAAATTTAAGAAAACAGTAAAATGATTCCATTTACGGTAGCTTCAAAAATGAAGTCTTTAGGAATAAATTTAACAGAAGTGCAAGTACACCTTGTAAACTGAAAACTATAAAATACTATTGAATGAGATTAAAGAAGACCTGAAATAAATGGAAAGACATGTTGTGTTTATGGATCAGAAGATATAACGTTGGGGCGTCTGGGTGGCTCAGTCGTTAAGCGTCTGCCTTCGGCTCAGGACATGATCCCAGGGTCCTGGGATCAAGCCCCGCATCGGGCTCCCTGCTCCGCAGGAAGCCTGCTTCTCCCTCTCCCACTCCCCCTGCTTGTGTTCCTGCTCTCGCTCTCTCTCTCTGTCAAATAAATAAGTAAAATCTTTAAAAAAAAGATTTTATTTTTAAAAAAAGATATAATGTTAAGATGGCAATATTCCCCAAATCGAGCTACAGATTCGATGCAGTCTCCTATCAAAATACCAGCTGGCTCCTCTGCCGACAGACAATTGAGGAGTATGTCAAAAAGAAAAATGAGAAGATGGGACGCCTGGGTGGCTCAGTCGGTTAAGTGTCTGCCTTCAGCTCAGGTCATGATCCTGGAGTCCTGGGATCGAGTCCCGAATCGGTGGGGAGTCTGCTTCTCCCTTCTCCCTCTGCAACTTCCCCTGCTTATGCTCTCTCTCACGTGCACTCTCTCTCTCTCTCTCTCTCTCTCTCTCTCTCAGATAAGTAAATAAAATCTTAAAAAAAATGAGAAGAAACTAGTTATATAGTTGGAAAAGAATTCCTGGTGTATAAACCAGCAATTAGCCCTTCTAAATGAGTGAATACAGGCCTGGAATAAGAATCAGTCCCTAAAGGGAAGAACCAGACCTTTACTTACAGAGCTAGTAAGTACTTCTAGAGCCACTAAGTAAAATCCACTTCTTTTTCTCTCATTCACATGGTAGTTTCTTTTTGATTTCCTCTTCTGTGCAGAGTTTTGTCCCTTCCTTCCCATCCAGCAGTTAGTTAAGCTCTCTTCTGTCAAGGAGCTTATACTTTAGTACTTTAGGAGGGAACTTACAAGACACATACACGCACACGGTAAAAAGCGATGTATATTTTTTTTTTAAAGATTTTATTTATTTATTTGCGAGAGAGAGAATGAGAGATAGAGAGCACGAGAGGGAAGAGCGTCAGAGGGAGAAGCAGACTCCCTGCTGAGCAGGGAGCCCGATGTGGGACTCGATCCCGGGACTCCAGGATCATGACCTGAGCCGAAGGCAGTCACTTAACCAACTGAGCCACCCAGGCGCCCCAAAAGCGACGTATATTATAATCGAGTGCTAAGGTGCGGTAGGAATTCAGAAGTAGCACTTGAGCCAGTTTTAGACACGCGGTGTTGGGTAGGAGAAGGGTGTTCCAATCAAAAGAAGCAGCATGAGAAACCATGGGCATTTCTTTCGGGTGGTGTTTTTGAAGGGAAGTGATGAGACAGAAAGCTGGGGCCCAGCGTTGTCCCAGCCCTGCCCCTGACTAGCCACATGACCTTGAGAAAGTTAACTTCTCTATGTCTGAGCATCCTCTTTAACAAATGCACATAAACATACCACTTACCTCGGGGTTGTTGGGAGAACTGAGTGAGACCATACACATTAAGCACTTATCACACTGTCTGGCAGAGTAGGTGCTCAATAAACATTTCTTACATTTGGGGATGGAATACCAAGCTAAGGCATTTGAGCTTTTATGTTGTGGGGAGCAACAAATAAAGATTTCAAATAAGGGTGTAACACAATCAGGGCAACACCTTGGGAAGATTATTAACTTGGCAGTAGGCAGTCTGGAGGTGAGAGAAGGGGAGACTGGGGGAAGCCATTGCAAGAGCTCAGGAGAGGGAACGTGAGGTTGAACCTGAGTATTGATAGTAGTAGAACTATATAAGATTACTGAGAGTTTGCTGGTGTCATAACACAAATGGGACATAGGAGAGGAAACAGGGTTTGACCTTAACAACGGAAGGCCAGTTTTCTACATCCTGAGACCAGTGGGACTGCGAGGAAGGAATGTGTGCTGGGCTATTGGAAATTCAGTAGAGATCAGGGCTGGGAGGATGACCAGAGGTTATAGCCAAGAGGTGGTATGAGATTACCAAAGAAAAGAAATATGGGGAGAGAAATAAGAACAGAACCCTTGGAGGTGGGAAAACAAAAAGAAGGCAGATGATTTGACTCTAATTGCCTTTCACAGAAGTTTGGTGTTGCTATCTGGTATCACATACCCTTCCTTCATACCTCCGAAGTGACTGTTTGACTCTCTTCCTCCATACCACAGCTAAATGGGACCCTCTGCAGTGGCCCTGTTCTAGATGAATACATTTGTTCTCACATTGCCCCTAAGTACTTTTGCTTTCCCCCTAAGGTTGACACAGCAAGACCTATTAGGATGTAGACCAGTTTTATTTCTGGGTGAACACTAGTTTTGAAGAACATTCAGGGGGCTGTGAGAAGCTAAGGTTTGAGATGTCTTACAGACGTTCTCAGAACTTGCAGAGAAAAGTGGGCAGCCTTGAAATACTGTGAGGTGGCTGATAGATAACATGCTTGACTCTTTCTCATTGAAAATTTGAAATTTGGTTTTTACCTTGAGATTTCTGGGTTTTCTGCAGGGAGGACAAAATAGTTATAGGGGTAAAAATGAGCTGGCAAGGGGGGGGTCCCATCCTACTGCAGGATTTTAAATTGTCTGTGGATTTCACAGGCGCCGGTCATTTCATTAGTTCCTTCAACACTTAGTGCATATAGCAGCCAGAAATGGAAGGCGATTTGCGCTTACTCTCCTGCACTTTCCTGAAGAAATGAGGGAGTGCCTGTTTGCCCTGACAGAGGGGAGTTCTTTTGCCCTAAGAGGGCAATGGCTCGAATTGGCCGATTCCACTTGTTTGATTCTGACTAGGGCCTTGTGTTTTAATTAACTTTTACAAGTGAATAATGGGCAATAGCCACAATCCAGTTGGCTGGCAAAGGAACTGCATGGTGTTCTGTTGCAATATAAAAAATGTGCCTAAGTCTTTGATGCTGGGAGGTTTTTGTGACACTTTAAAATTAACAAGCTGGCTCAGCTTTCCTCCGCATACTCTACTAGGCTTTTTATGACCTTTTTTTCCATTCTCGTGTTAGGGGATTTTGCATGTGTGTTTCTCTCTCTCTCTCTCTCTCTCTCTCTCTCTCTCTCTCTGTGTGTGTGTGTGTGTGGTTGTTTTGCTGCTTTTCTTTGCATTTTGGAAACTTCCAAGTCAGGCTGGTTTCAATCCTATTTTCAGAATTCTTACCAAGATCAACTTGGTCTTGTTATGTCCAGACACTGACTCTCGTACCTTTTGATTTCATCTCTCCGTTCAGACTGGTTGCTATCTCAGCAAGGTGCATGAGGGAAGGGTTTGGAGTTCGGGGGTAGAGTTGTGTTTTCCTAACCCGAAATGATCTGTGGATAACAGCTAGGGTCAGTTTTAAACGCGGGAAGTTTGGAGAGAGGCTCCATAGGATCGGAATATACCGAGCTTGTATTTTGACAGCTTAACATTGAATTCCCTCTTCTTCTTGCAGTAAGTACAAATGGATCCTGGGAGAGGAGCCGGCGGAGAAACGAAGAAGGCTCCAGAATGAGATGACAACACCTCCTCTAGATTATTCAATGCCTGGCCCTTACAGGAGGGTGGAGGCACCTGTCGCCTACCCAGAAGGGGAGAACAGCCATGATAAGTCCAGTTCCGAGAGAAGCACACCACCGTACCTTTCTCCAGAATACCCAGACGCAAGCAAGAATACCAGTCAGAGTAGGGAGGTGTCAGTCCTGTATTCAGGGGCCCAAGACCAACACCAGGGGTCCCTGCTCCCTGAAGAATTAGAAGATCAGATGCCAAGATTGGTAGCAGAAGAATCTAACAGAGGCAGCACAACCGTAAACAAGGAGGAAGTAAACAAGGGACCTTTTGTAGCCGTTGTGGGTGTTGCAAAAGGCGTTAGAGATTCAGGAGCTCCCATTCAGCTGATCCCTTTTAACAGAGAGGAGCTGGCTGAGAGGAGAAAAACAGTGGAATCTTGGAGCCCGGTGCCTTTTTCCTCCGTGGCCTCTGGTCCCGCCCCTGCCGCAGCCGCTGGGGAGAAGGGCCGGGGTTATGAGGAGAGCGGAGGTCGCAGTACGCCAAAGATGAAGAACCAAAGAGAGCTGGAAGAACTGAAAAGAACCACCGAAAAACTGGAACGCGTTTTGGCTGAGCGGAACTTGTTCCAGCAAAAGGTTAGGGCAACACCTTCCCACTGGGAATAAGAGATCCTTTTAACCAAGAGACCAGAGAGTCGCGGCTCTTGACCATTTCCTGCTCTGAGGCCTTTACACAGCAGAAGCCATCGACTCATTCTGTGTGGTGTCTCAGATTGAATGCCCCCGAGTGGGCTTACCGCCCCTATCTGGGGGTCGAGCAGGGCCCTGAGCGGAACGTGTACGGAGGAACTGCAGAGTGAATGTTATCAGGGACACGTTTCAGCGCGCGCCTAGCACGTGGGGCTCATTGAATTTCTGTTTCTTGGGCTGCAGGTGGAGGAGCTGGAGCAGGAGAGGAATCACTGGCATTCTGAGTTCAAGAAAGTCCAGAGCGAGCTGGGGACCTACACCGCCCAGGAGACGGAAGGCTTGTACTGGAGCAAGAAACACATGGGCTATCGCCAAGCCGAATTCCAGATTCTGAAAGCTGAGCTGGAGAGGACCAAGGAAGAAAAGCAGGAACTCAAAGAGAAACTGAAGGAGACAGAGACGCACCTGGAAGTGCTGCAGAAGGCTCAGGTCTCCTACCGGACCCCAGAGGGAGATGACCTAGAAAGGTTAATTCCCAGGGTTTAGTTATCAGCTTGGGAGTGCTACCGGGAAGCATCCCTTAGGACCCCCAGTGACTGGCCGTAGCTAAGGGAGGAAGCCTTAATTAATCTGTAGGCCACCAAGGAGCGAGGAATTGGTTAGAGAGCCGCAGTCAGTCTCCCTGTGCGTGGTGGCACCGTGCTTTCTTCTTTCTGTCTAGCTAATGGACACATCATTGTTGAGAGACGTAGGCCCATTTTTAAGGAGCTTCATTTTGTTCTGTTGGCTAATGACTTCATGTCATCTCTTCTGCCCCCTCACTCCATCATACAGGGCTTTGGCAAAGCTTACGCGGCTGCGTATCCACGTCAGCTATCTCCTTACTTCTGTCCTCCCTCACTTGGAGCTTCGTGAGATCGGGTTTGACTCAGAGCAAGTGGATGGGATCCTGTATACGGTGCTGGAGGCAAATCACATACTGGATTGAGCACCGGACTATATACTCTATATACCCTCCTATACCCTACCCTACTCTTGTCTCCTCTCCTCCCCCCCCCCCCCCCTTCCTCTCTCTCCCTCTCCCCCTTTCCCTCTCCGCCCGCCCCCCCCATCTCTCTCTCACACCTTTATGCCTTATATAGAGAATCTTTGAGTAAATCCTGGCTCTCACTCAGTCTGCTTCTTACTCAGTTTTGGTGTGGAGAAGGAGGCTAGTTATTAGGCTTTCAGGGGTTCCAGGAACAGAAAAGCGAGAGTCACCAAGCCAGGTGACCTGAAAGCTTTAATTTTCATGATGTAGACAACTTGGCCTCTTCTACATCCTTTCTGAAATGGTTTGTATTCATTTAGGTTAAATCAGTCGGCAAATACTGGGTCCAATGTGGTAGATGTTCGGGGATAAATTAAGAAGTATAATTCCTGGTTGCAGCCTTCAAGGAGCTAACAACCTAGTTGAAAGTGCAGGACACACACCAAGTTAACTAACTGCTGCAAGTGAGTGGTACAAACATGATAGAGAAGTTCTGGGGGAGGAAGTTGAAGAAAGGCATCACATCAGAAATGGGACCTAAACTGAGATTTGTTTAAAGAACGAGCACGACCACACTGTCAACAATGGCGACAATGGTTGTTCTTTAGGGGGTAGGATTATGGTTGATATTTTTTTCTTCTTGCTATCTTCCTGCCTTTTTCAAATTTTCTATAATAAACCCATTATTCTTCTTACATTGGAAAAAATAAATCGTTTTTAAAAAGAATGAGTAGGTTTGGATTCAGATATCAGTTGAGAGAGACTGTTGAACATATAAGGTAATTTTATATTTACAGTTCATGTTATATTTAGCATTACCTCTGGAAGAATAGCATGAACAAAAGCATGGAAAAAGCTGGAATGTGAAAAAGACGTTTGGTAGAAGTGATGGGTTAATGTAAACGGAACTGAAGTTAAATCATGACCCATCTACTCACCCTCACGTGGCATTTGCATGTCAATAAGGAATTCTTGAAAAAAAGAAATCTTCAGGGCTCAAATTCAAAAAATACGTGCCACCAAACTGGGATTTCAGGAAGTGGGGGAGCTCTTTTAGAGCAGGGAGATCTGTTTGATACTCTTCACAATTCACCACCTACCTACTCCCTCAGGCTAGTGCTGAGTAAGGGGTTGGTCTCATATTATCAGAAATTGTAAAACCTAACACTCTTGTCAAAGTAGACATTTTGTTGACCCATTGCTTTATTATATTTATATAGCGCATACGCTCCAAAGAGTTCAAGGTACTCTTCACAAGACATTGAACAATGAACACATAAAAATATACCAGCAGTGAAAAAGAAGAAGTAAAGGAGAAAGAATCACAGGGGGTGGGCGTGGGATCAAGCAATCGCAATAGGATCCGGTAGTGCAGAAGAATGTTTCGGATATTTGTCCTGTTTTCCCCTGCAGAGGTTACTTTGGAAGACTCTCCCAAGCTTATTTTACCTCCTTGGAGAGGAGGCCCATCAACAGGTCTTCCAGGAAGACTGTAAGGCCAAGGCGGGGAGGTCCGAGCCAGGCTTCAGCCTCAGAATGAGTGCTGACAGTTGCCCCCGGCCCTGGGCCCTCGCCGCACCTCACCTCTAGCCTGCAGCCTGGTTAGTTTTCATGCAGGACATTTGGACTAGGATATTGAAGGCCCCCGTTGTCTAAATAAATATAAATATTACTGAGAAACGGGCGGTGGGGCGGTGGGGAGGCGTTTTCAGCTGTCCTCTCAATGATACTTATTCTTCAGAAGGGGGCTGTGAAAAGCTGGGACTTGGCACAGATATGGACAATATGGATGGAAGGTGGTGTCGGAAAAAACAATCAGAGCATTAAAGGTTCAGCTTGTGAGGCGGAGAGTAAGCGTGTGTGAGGGGTGCGTGCCTGCGTGCGCGTGCGCGTGCGTGTGTACGTGCGCATGCACACACGCTTTGGGTGAGTGAGGAGCAAAGTCGGAAAGAATATGGGCAATTGGGCTTTAAAAAGAAAAGAGTTGGGGAAAAAAGTTGAAAAAAGAAAAAAGTTGGAAAAATGTAACTCTTCTTTACTAGTGCTTACTCTCCGCCCGTTTCCTAGGCCCAGCCCCACGCCGCTGCTTCCAGCCGCAGTTAGGTGTGCGAGTCCATCTACTGCGATGCCGGAGCTACCTCTTTGATACCTATTTGCCGTGAAACCACACCAGCGGGAGGCCCCTTGAACCAATGTTAAAAGCCACGGTGGAGAGATTCAAAAGTGTCCCCCAGCCTTACCAAAGCTTATGTACCGTGGAGGCAAAAGACAGCGGAAGAAAAAAGTGGGTGCCTCCTGCCGGCTGTCCAGTTAGGTTAACAGGATCGTAACTGTCCTTTCAAACGTCCCTCCTATTTACACCAACTTTTCATTTCCACAATCCATTTAGGCCCTTATTATCTCATGCCTGGAAAACTGAAATCGGCTCTTAACTGGCCTCACTTTCCTCCCGTTCACACTCCTTCCATCCGCTCTCCTCACTGTCACGAAATTGCTTTGAATGACCTCCTCAGGTTATGCCTCTGCTCAAAGACATGCTAGTGTTCCCAGTTGCTGAGCAAGCGCAGTACAGAGACCCCCGTAGCCGTCCCTGTGCTCTCCAGACTCCTCTTTTAACAGTCCAAACACAAACCTCATTCCGTCCAAGCTGCACTGTTTCTGTTTCCGAACCTGCCTGGAGATTTTTCTCCTCCACCTTTGCTATTCTGTTCCCTTTACCTGGAACGTTCTCCCTCATCTTTCCTTTGGCTCAGATGTCAACCTTCCCCCGCGCCCCAAGTTCCCCCAATTAACCCGGGCAGTCATAATGTTTTCTTTGAACACGTAAGTTTTGTGTCGCAAGGCTTTTTATCACAAACTTCCTTGTCCTGTCTTCCTATTAGAAAGCTCTAGATTCAAATATATAGCTGCCTACTTGGCATTTACATTTACATGCCTCACAGGCATTTCAAATAAAATGTGTTAAAAATAAACAGTGACACACACACCCCGGGACTATTCCTTCCCCCAGTTTTCCTCATTTTAGAAAATGGCACCTCCACCCACCCAGTCACATAAGCTAGAAACCTGGAAGTCATCCTTAAATTTTCCTCTTTTGTAGTCCCCCACATCCCGTCTGTCAGAAAGTCTGTCAGTTCTATCGCCAAAGTATATCTTGATTTCACTGACTTTTACCACAGCCACCTTAGTCCAAACAACCATCGGCTCCCATAGATGTTTTTGCGGCTTCTAACTGGTGTCCTTGCTTCCACTCTCGTTCCCACAACTCTCTTATCACGACAGCCAGATTAAAAAAAAAAAATACAAATCAGATTACATAACTCCGTGCTGAAAGCCTTGCAGTGACTTCTCACTGCACTTAGAATAAAATCCATCCTCCCTACTTCCTCTGCTTTGTGTCTTGCCGCTTTTCATCAGATCTCTTTTCCCCTCGCTCACTGTGGTCTTCCCACGGAAACACGTCAGGCTATTACTTCCCCCCGAGCCTTTACCCATACTGTTCCCTCTTCTAGAACGCTCACACCTCCGGTTTGGGCATGGCTGCCTCAGCCTCATCCTTTCAGGTCTCGGTTTTAAGTGTCAATTTCCTCAGACAGGCCTTCTGTGCGGCGTTTTTTTTTTTTTTTCCTCTCTCTCCCCTATTCTATCATTTCCTGTTTTCAGTTCCTGGCACTTCTCACAATTTGCTGTTACATATTCGGCTGTTGACTTGCACTCGTTCAACAAATACTCAGTGGCTACCTACCACGTACTGTGTGATAGCTGGGAACACAACCCACATGATGTCTGTCCGCCTCTTTCCCTAATAAGGTCCATGAGGGGAAGGGCCACGCCATTTTGGCCAATCCCTTTATCCCACAGCTTATCATTGTACCTGGTATATAGTAGGTAGTCAATGATTCTTAACGAATCAGTTAATGTTGGGAACATGTCAATATTTCCATCTCCCTCAAGAGCCTGTAGCAGTGGCTCATTCGTGGAAGGGGCTGGCTAAATGAGTGAGGGAAGCAACAGTGCTGGACATGAAACACTGCAAATGCAAAACAGACCATAAGTGCTTCAGGTTTCGGGGGGGCAGGCAGGGTGAGCTGGAGTGACCCAACGTTTCTCTGTAGCTGAGTTTTCACTTGAATAATTGGAGAGGCTACCAAAGGCAAAAAAAAAAAAAAAAAAGGAATATGGGTGTTCTTTCCCACAGACTCTGAATGTTATCAAAAGGAAGCTCCCTAGCATGCAATTTTAAAATACTGAGAATTACAGAATACAATCTGGAGAAGCCTATAGAGAGCACATCTTGAGCGTGAGAACTAAAAGGAGAAAAAAAAAATCTCTGAGGGGTCTTCTGTTCCCTTTTGCCAAGAGCAGTGATAGTGTCTTTCAGGAGAAGAAACGGGGGCGCCTGGGTGGCGCAGTCGGTTGAGCATCCGACTCTTGGTTTCAGCTCAGGTCACGATCTTGGGGTCTCGGGATCAAGCCCCGCATCGGGCTCCACGCTTGGCGTGGAGTGTGCTTGAGATTCTCTCTCCCTCTGCCCCTCCTGCCCGTGCTCTCTCTCTAAAATAAATAAATCTTTAAATAAATAATTTTAAAAATGTTAAGAACAAAAGAAACGGGAGCTATCCATAAAGAGAGTAGACAGAGCAAGCCTCAAGAAAATAAGTTCCTGGCACGTGTTAGGAAGTCGGTACATGCTTGTGGGATGAACAAATGGGCTTCTAGCAGAGGACCAAGTCAGAGACTTGGTGATCCCAGGGGGGGCAGAAAGATAGCATTGTCCCTGTCCGGTGATTACAGATGATCTGGGGCAATAATTTTGAAGCAGAGGCTTAATTGGCAGGCTCTCGGTTCCCAAAGGGTAATCCCCAGATAGAACATGTTTCAGAGTTCTGTACTACGAATTAAAACTCTTTCTGCAGTACGGGGTTAGGAGTGAAGCATGGGGGTATGCTCCGGAAAGTCAGGGGTGAGCTCAGGCGAAGTCAAGCGTAATTTCCCCAAAAGAATACCTTGTTCTTGATGACAAGGACATCCCGGACTTATGACTTCTCTTAGGCAGAGAGGAAACTCAGGGACCATACTTTCTGAGTTCAAAGTCAGGGCACACGGTTGTAATAAACTAGACAGCTGGAAAATACTAACCTAGATCGTCTTGGGCAGATTGTAGCTTTAGTCATTAGGGGAGACATACATAGCATTCATTTTCTGCAGAAGGAACGTGTTTTGTTACTTGACCCCAACCCCAAGTCCAAAGTTTTGAGGTGAATCATCAGAAACCCCAACCCCCTTTTAGATGAGATTAGTCCAAATGTTTTGGGTGCCTTCTACTCACCAAACACATTTCATACATCTGACCATTGAGTCCTCAGGGGCAGAGGCACGATGACTTTAGGCAGAGGCTCAAGAAGGTGTTCCCAAAAGCCCCGATTTTCCAGAAGGCTGTGGAAACCTGTAAGGATCGGAATGGTGGAGATGTGTGGGGAGGGTTTTCCAGGTTGTAGGGAAGAATATAAGTAAAGTCACTGGACTAGGTGGTCGGGGGGGGGGGGCGGTTTGTGAATACAGGAACACCGAAGTGCATTTGAGGAATATTGAATTACTTAATTTGAAGCATAAGGAACAGAATGGACCAAGGGCTGGGGAATACCAGCAAGAGGGGGGCTATGCTAAATCTGCTTACCAATGGAGCCCTTGTAGGCTATGAACTAGAAAAGTGGTTGTTGTATCTCCCCAATTGTCCCCAGAGTTGGGGGCATTAATCAGTTTGAAGTTCCCTTGGACTAAGATTTTCTCTAGAAGCAGGACATGATTGATCATGGTTTTGTTCCACCTCAGATTTTCACAGAGCTTGATGAAGGGCAAAGAGCCATCACCCCTCCTTTCTTCTCCAACTTCTCGAGTCTGCTTTTCCTCTGGCCTCTGTTAATGGAATCTTCAAGGTATCTAGACTTTGGGGAAGAATCTGGAGAAGTTTTGACCTGGGAAAGAATACCCCTTGCTGATGTAGATTCAGATCTGTGGTGGGAAATAGACCTTGTCATCTGCCCCCGCTCCCCACAGACACACATTTTGGTGTGACTTTGACACTACCCTTTGGGTCACCAATATGCTTAGACCACAGTTAACCCCTTGCTAAGGACCTACCAGATGCCATGACCATGCTAAGAGGCAGGCATCATTTCCATTTGATGTATGGGGAAACTAAAGTGTAGAGAACTGAAGTGCCTCTCCCAAGGCCACACATCTAGGGAGTGTGCAGAGGCCAAACCAAACCCAGGTTTGTCTGACTCCAAAGCCCAGGCTCTTTGCCCACGACACCGTACGGCTTGTCTTGAAAACGGTTAGTCTCGTCTTCGTCCCTTTGATAAGAAAAAGCCAAAGCCAGCCCACGCTAATAGGAATTTCCAAGGAAGAAAGTTCCACAATTCCACACAATGTTTAACTGCCCTCATGATCAGGAAATCGTTCACTTATGTAACGAATATCCCTCCAAACAATGTGGAAATTCATTTCCTCTTGACTGGGTTTTTCACGCAGGGCTGTCACTTGGCAGCTTTCCTGATATCAAAACAGCCATCGAGATCCTATTCTTTCACTCCAGGAGGTCTTGGACTTGTTGGCCTCTGCCTGTGAGGGTTCTCACTGGCTCCTTGGTACCGCACCCCCACCCCAGACAGTGCTGAGGTGCGCAAGTTTCTCGGGGAGTGAGAAAGTGACACTTGAGAACATGCCGGTTTATTATTACACACAGAAGAGTAAAATTAACCACATGAGGTGCCTCTGGAATTGCCGAGAAAAAGATGGCACCACCTTTCTCGTCTTGTCTGCCTTTTTCTTGATTTCTATTTCATCTCCATTGAAGGCTATTGAATCATTTAGTTGAAGAGTGCACGCGTTACTCAGAGAAGGCCCCTGCTCCCCCAAATTCCAGCGTCCACTGCCTCTGAATTGATCATCCATTTTTTCTTAAGCTCCCTGGACTCGTCTTCTCATTTGGGCTCTTTTTTAAAAAAAGCGCTAAACTGAGAAACTAGTGCAAATTCTGACATCAGTGGCTAATCTATGACTGAATGGGTTTATCCTGCTAGAAAAATGTACGTGCTTCCCCGCTCCGCCCCCACCCCGCCCCATCAAGGCCCTCAGTGCCTTTAAACCAAGGGAGCAGAGTCTTTACAGTATCATCAGATAGCCTGTGTGGGGGATGCTGAGGCACCTTCTTGCCTCCCATTGGGTGAATCCAGAAGAAAGCAAACGAAGAGGCTGCTTGTGATTTGGGTGTGATTGGCCTTTCTCCTGAGCAACCCACGCGGAACTTTGTCAGATGTCACAGGCTCGGGAAGTGCTGTTGGAGTAAAGGGGCTCCCACTGAAACTCGGGGTTGACTGCCACTCTACTCATACTCATTGGGCACCTTGATTCACATCGCATTATACGTATCTGTCTGAAAGCCTGTGAGCTTTCTCAGTGTTCCCTCCACAAGGCCGTGTTCACAAATAGAAAGTTCTTCGAAGCCCTCCTCGGAGGTGACTTGTGAAGCGGCGAGGGTGCCATTCTGGAGGAATGGGACTTCAGGGATGACAGGAAAGCGGAACCTGATGGGCTGCCCTTGTGGAGTGACCTCCTGCTTTGTTAAGCCCGAAGCCACTGCCACCTGTCTTGTGGAGAAATGAGGCCCAGAGCAGAGAATTGCAGGCAAGAGTGGGCTTGGAGTTCCTGAGCAGCAGTTCTCGGGAAAGTGGTAGCTTGTGGGAGGCAGAGGGATGGTCCCCTTATAGCTTCTGTATCGCCGGGCCTGATAACAACCTGTTAATGTTTTATCAGTGATCACATCGCACGCAGCACGGAGAAGCCACCACTTAGGGCAAAAGAGAGAGATAACCTGCTGGACTTCCTGTTTGAGGTTTTCTCTCCCGGGGAGATAACAGGATTTCTCATCAAAGCCAGCAGCCGCTTGGGCAGAGAGACCAGGCTGGGCAAAGGCCAGGCTTCAGAGCGGGCAGCCACAGGCGCAGAAGAGTCTCCTGCCCGGGGAGCCAGGGCTGAGTGGGCGGGAACAGCTGACCCTGCCCAGGCCCCACCGCCTGCCTTTAGTGCCGTGCCCTTCTCATTCCTCTCTCCCTTCTCCCACATCTGGGTTTCTCCTCCGGTCCGGGGCCAAAAGGCCTCAGGTTCCCCGGATGGGCGCTGCCTCTGCTGCCCCCACCAATTTCCAGAGAGCCGCCCAAGAGAAGCAGATGCGGGAGAAGAGGCCGAGCCCCAGGGCCTCTCTTTCCCCTGGAGCCACTTAGGAGTCCTGCGAGGCAAACTCAAAGGGGTTCTGGGTGAGCTGTGCCGTGGAACCCTGTTTCCTCCTCAGCGCTGCTGTCCACCCTTTTGCTCCGTTTCCCATGGTCCTTCAGCTGCAGGAGGCAGTTTCTCGGGCTCCACCTTCCCCCTCCAAAGCTCAAGTGGTGCCAGGCCCTCCCTTCATATGGGTTGGGGTTTGAGGGGACTTACAAGCCTTTCTCGAAGTAGCTCCTGACACCCCTACCTTCTGGCACTTTCCTCCGATCTCTCACAGGACACACCGTACCATGCCTGTACCACACTTCGGTGTGCATGTCTTATCTGGCCCTGGATCAGCGGTCACCTCCTGCAAGGCACAGACTTTACCTCGCCGTTCGCCCTCGTTGCCCTCAGAGCCTTCCGCACGTCATCTGACACGGAGTGGGGGTGCAGGCAGTCTGGGCCCCCTGGCTGCGGAGCCTGTTGAATGGCTTGTTGGAGTGGCCGGATGAAAGTCTCTCAGGAAGCCGGAGCTCGCCGTTCCCCCAAGAAGCCGGTTTCAGCCTCCCCCTGCCCTATTAATGATCACAGAGCTGTAGGTCACTAGGGCCCCCAGGGGGAGAAAACATGAGTCACACTATTATCAGAGGAATGAGGGAGGGCAGAAACGTCTTTCCTTGTGCAAGGGTCAGAGCCATCAGTTTGGGGCATAACGACAATGGCCTTCACTGTCCCTTCGGTTGTGGCTAATCTAAATTACTTTATGATGGAAGGCAATGGCATGAGCTGAAAGCCGTTCAACGTGGACTCAAGACACCTAGAGATTTCGAGGAAATTATTTAGAGCAAGGCTTTCCTTGCTTACCCGGCCAAAAGGAGCGGCTGTTCTTTATCGGTCTGCCCTGATTTTTCTAGTTAAGGATGAAATTCTAACTTCTCTGTCCAATCTTCCCAGATTACAAGGAAGGAGGACGTCCCAGGGCAGCCTCATCCTAAGACGAGGGGAAGCCCTGGGCCCTATTTCCCTCGAAGGCCCTTCTATCGCGAGCAGCTTTGGGAGTCTGAGGAGCAGAAGGCACTCTTCCACCTTCCCAGGCAGAATCCCAGGCCCACGTTGCTGTTGGGTGGAAGAACTTTCCAAGCTTACCGTCAGACTCCGACACTGTGACTTTCAGGAGGCTTCCATTTTGTCTCCTGTAAAAAGACTGGCCTCATTTCGGGTATTTGGGCAATTCGAGGAAATTGTGGGCCTGAGAGCGCTTTGGCTGCCAGGTGGTGGGTCCTCAGAGCCCAGACCAGATGGCTGCGCCCTCAGCACAACACAACAAAGTAACCCCTTCTAGCAGCCTCCCCTGCCCCCTCCCCGAGTCAAGCGCTCTGGGGCTCCTGGTGCCAGGCCAGAGACACGACCCTTTGTTCAACTTCTGTTCGGAGAGCCCACTCGCTCCAGGGCCTGCGTAAGCTGAATCTTGGGGGAGGGGGAGCTGTTATTGTCAGCGATGCCACAGTTAACATCTTTATGGACTGGGCTTTGTTCATTCCCCCCCGGAGGTTTGAACACGGCCAAATCATTGGCCTCCCGAACTCTCACACCTCCGGAGTTTGGGAAATTAGAACGGAGGTGTCGTGTCTCATTCAAATGTGAATTGGTCCTGCTCCCCCAGATCACCTCCACGGGAGATCTCCAGGAGAACTGTGTGTGTCCCCAGTGTGTCTTTGCTGGCCATGAGTTGCTTTCCTCCGGCAGCCTGGGGGGACCCCTGGCAGGCTCTCCCAATGAGTGGATCAGCAGAGTCCTATTTGGGGAGTCTAGAGTCTGGGGCACCAACACCAGCAATGCGGCCCTGGGAAAAACAATCTCTTTATTCACGTTTCCCCATCTGCTGCATGGAGATTGTCAGATCGACTTCCCTTTACCTCACGGTGCTGGTTCAGAGAACGAAAGGAATAAACACACAGCCATTTAGTAAACAACTTCCATGAAAGAACTGTGGAGAGGGAGGAGCCCTGAGTAAGATGAAAAGGTAAAGCTTCGCTGGGAAGGTGGGGGGGGGGGGTGGTGGTGGTGTCTTGTTTTCATAATGTCTCTGGTAAAGTCTAGAATTCTTTTATCCACCCAATAGGAAGAAGAGCCAGTTTCCATCCTACCCTCCCCCGGCCCAGTTTTCTCTCACACCTGCCCTGCCTGGGTCCCCTTTGAATGAATAAAACAGTAACCAAATTACTCAATCAACAAGTGTTTATTGATCACCTACTATGTGTCCCGCACTCTTACAGACAGTCTGGGGGATACAGAGAGATCTCGGGTATGGCCCCTACCCTCCAAGAGTTTACAATGTACTTGTGAAATCAGATTCGCTCACACAAAAAGATAACTATCCATCAAAAATTGTGAATAATAAGCATCAAAGAAGCAATAGTTATACACTGAGGGGTGGAGGAGGGAGGGGAGAGGAGGGACGGAGTGGTCAGAGGACACTCAGTGTAGGAGGTGGTGCTGAGCGAGTTCTCCGGGCAGCAGGAGGGCTCGGCTAAGGCGACAGGGCCTTCCAGCTTGGGAGAAGAGCTTAATCATAAGCAAGAAGGTGGAGAGGCAAGAGGCATGTTAGAGACAACGAGTGAGCCCCTTCTGCTGGTACTGCGGTTTGGGGAGGTGGACTGGAGTTTGTCAGAAGCCGGGAGTGCTTGCGGGGTGCGGGGATGAGGGAAAATGCCTTTGGTCTATCTGTGACTCCCACCCCCACCCCCACCCCCACCCCCACCCCCACCCTGGGGAAATGGAGCATTTCCACACCTTGGAGCTGGAACTGTCTGCCTGGGAGATATTCTCCACCGCCCCACCCCCCGCCCCCGCCCCCGGAACTGAACTTCCAGGCAGCGGCTCAGCTCTCGCTCAGATCGGGGCCACAGCTCCTTGGGCGTTATTGCTCTATGCCAAAGCCCTCAGATGCCTTCTAGCAACTCGGAGGTGTCTGGCGAAGGATGGCGGGGCACATCTGAAGGGTGACAGGGGGCCCACCGGGGGCTGTCGTCTCTCAGAGGTTCTGTAGTGCTCTGTGGGGAGACCCTGGGGGACTGATCGCAGTCTTCGGGCTGCTTTTCTTTTAGGTCTGAAGACCGTCTGGGGAAGCCACCTCTCTCTGCCCGATAGAAACACCCACTGGAGCCACCTCACATGCCCACCCAGCTTCTTAGAGACCCTAGTTCTTACTCTTTCTCGGGCCGCATCAAGGAGTGGTCTCCGCTAAGGAGCCCCAAGGCTCTCAGGCAGTCATCCCCCAGCCAAGAGCCATCTCTAGAAAAGCCAGGTTTCCCTTCCTGAGGAAACCACCGTGTCGGACCCGCAGCCTTGTTTCTTAGCAGGGGGTCAGGTCAGAGGGAGGCAGGGGCTTCGGTGAAAGTTGGGGCTGCAGCTCCTGAGGCAGTTCCTCAGCGGCATTAGCATCCACTGCTGCCTTGAGCTACCACCCTATCTTCTTTCTTTGTGCTTTCCCCTAGCAGGAGTGGGGGTGGCTAGATCCCCAACCCACAGTGGGAGGGAATTCCAGGAAATGCCCCGGGCCTGTGAGTCAGGTCTTTTTTTGGTCCTTGGCCGCCTTCCCTCCCTCTCATCCTGCACCCGGTTGCTCTCTGTTCCCTCGGTACCACGGGGTGGTTTTATTTCAGTCCATGCACAAACCAGTCTGAACACTGTGGAGTCATAAGAACAATGGGATGGAGGCTCTGGGCTCCATTACTGGCCAGTTTCTTTGGAGAGAAGCTTGGGAGGTTGGTGAGAGCCATGCCCATAAAGGCCACCACCCCTCCTTACCCCCACCTCACCCCAGCAATGAGCTAAGAGCCAGCATGAGCCAGAGGGAGGGTCTTTGATCACAGAGAGGGTTAGTCAGTGGGATGCAATTAATGCGTGGGTTTGGGGACGGACCGTGGGTCAACCAAAAGGCCGAGGGGAGCCTCTGTGGCATGGCCTAGGCTAAGGGGTGGAGTTTGGAGTTAGGGCTGGGGACTCGGGCTGGGGTGGGGGTGAAGGGAGATGGCAGGGCCGTGGGCAAGGTGAAGGAAACAGAAAGGTTGGCTCGGCAAGCATCTTGACAATCCACCCTACATGCTGTCACACCAGTTCCGGTTTCTGCCTTCCCTCGATCCAGCGGCCAAAGTCAGTCTATCCTCAGCAGCACCTGACATGATCCAGTGCCAATGTCCCTCACCTGTGGCCCCGGGGGATGGGGGTGTGGGCTCTGTCCACTGGTTTTCACAGACCCAGCCCCCGCCCCCCACCCAAGCTCTGGCCCCTGGTTCTTCACACATACCCTGTCAGGCTGTAGGAGTTAAACTCACTCTTGACTTTGGGCGGTTGACCAGACCTTGGGGAGCCCCTAGTTGCGAGGGGCTGGGCCTGGTAGGAATCGTAGTAGTTGGAGCGATTTCCCTGGAATGGGCAGGAAAAGCAGAGGATGATTCCAGCCACCAGGGAGAACAGGGAGGAAATAATGCCCAGGTAAAGAGCCTCTCCGATCTCAAATTTCATGCTGTCAGGTACCAGTGGAGAGTAGAAGTCCCGCAGGATCCCATGAAGATTCCAGGCAACTGGGATGAAGCCCAGGAGGCCTCCGAGGATGAAGAAGACTCCGCCCACCACCGCCAATCTGTCCTTGGCTCGGGAGTCCTGGCAGAAGACTGTGCATCTCATGCCCACCACAGAGACAATGCAGGCCAACGAAGAGACCGCACTGGATGTCACCATCATGGCCTGGGCAGCCTGGATGTCAGCGGGCAGGCCTAGGAGTGTGCTGTAGATGTCGCACTGGGTGATGCCTGTGCTGTGTGTAGCACACTCCATCCAGAGGCCCTTGGAGAAGCCGACCGCCGTTACGATGCTGGTACCAACGTAGGAGCTCGTTCTCCAGCTGGGAAGCAGCATGGCCACCAGGGTGCCCATCAGCCCCAGGAGGCCCAGGATGTAGCCTACGAGTTGGAGGCCAAGAGAGGCCATGGCAGACCTCTCAGCAGTAGCGTCGTCGGGGCCTGCTCCCTTGCCTTCGGGCTGTGGTTCTTGCTCCTTGGATCCTGGCCTCTAATCCTTCATTTCAGAGTGTCTGTAAGCGGGCCGATTTCTCTCCTCCTTACAAGTGTCTGTGGGTGGCCACAAGCAGGCTCAAGAAGGCATCTAGAAGGCCTAAAAAAAAAAAAATCCATAAACCAGATTAAATATTGACCAGAAGCTTATGAGAAACCAGAAAATGCTGGATGCCTTTTGACCTTTGTTATCTTTAGAAATAACACATGAGAAAGAAAAAAAAAAGAACTTTGAAAGCAGAGCCAAAATGTCATCGCCTCCTGCGTAGGCACATGCCTTGGGTTGGGTTGGCAGCCAGACAAAGCCAGAGGCCGGACGGGTGGCTCCTTTCCGAGAAGGTGGCGGTTGTGGCGGCCACATTAGCTCCCAGGCAGGCTCTCGGCTGGCACGGTTCTGTCTCCCCAGCCTGATGTTTAATGCATTGCCCAGCAATACTGCCACAGGGCCCCTCAACTGCAGACCGAGGCCAAACTCTGGGAGCCTGGAACAGGAGGAACAGGTCCCAGGGTATAGCTGTGGACTCTGGCTTATTAGAGGCCTCTCAAATCTCCAGGGGCCCGGAGAGCTGGGGTCTGGCCCTCGGGTCATAGTCCCTGCAGGGGAACATCGACACCAGGGTGGATTGGGATCGGCAAAAAAGACTTCTGTCCACACTCTGAGAGTTCAGGTCCGCCCAGCCCTGCCCAGATTCCCTCCACAGGCCAGCCTAACGACATTTTCCTGTCTGCTCTCTTCATAGGTTCCCCTATCAGCCCTAGCCTCGGAGATAATGTGGAAGGATTTTGGAGCAAAAGTTGTGCCAAGGCCTGGGGGTGGTGGGAGTCCTGAAATTCCCTAGGCTATCTCCCAACAGATAGCCTAGGATGGACAGAGGAAATGGAAGCTGTTCTACCGTAGAAGGCTTTGTAAGAGGAAGGCATCTGAGCTGATCCTTGAGAATCTCAGAGCTGTCTAGGATTGTGTGGTGTTCAAGGAGCACCCCCTGCAGGGACTTGCCAAGGCTGATCATCTCTTCGATGTGAGTATGCCTCAGAAGTCCATTCTTTTCTCAGTCAACCCTCTGTCCCTGAGCAAATAGGGATCATGACTTAAGTGGACTTAACCCACCCCCATGACTTAGTCTCCAACCCATCCACTGACACTTCCAGATCTGAATTTCCATCGTAGACTTTCCTCCTGAACTTCAAGACTACCAGACCAATCACCTATTTAAAATGTCCACCTTGGGGCGCCTGGGTGGATCAGTCGGTTAAGCATCCAACTCTTGATTTCAGCTCAAGTCATGATCTCAGGGTTGTGAGACCGAGCCCCGCGTTGGGCTCTGCACTCAGCGGGAAGTCTGCTTGAGATTCTCTCTCCCTCTGTGCCCCCTCTTTCTCTCTCAAATAAATAAATAAATCTTTAAAAATAAATAAATAAAATGTCCACTGGAAATGCCATAGGCACCTCAAATTTGGCATGTTCAAAAGGGAACTTATCACCTCTCCTATTGCACCCTTCCCCAAACTCCTATCGCACCCAGCTCTTCCCTGGGTCCCCGGGGATCAATGAACCATACCTCTATCCATTCCACCAGACCAAAATCCTGGGAGTGATTCTTGACACCTCTTTCATTTTGGTTCCTCACCTTCCATGGTCAGTGTCTCACCAAGTCTACCTCTTGCATATACCTCAAATCCATGGCACCCTCTCCCCATCCCTACTGCTTCTTGCCCGGGTCAGTGCATCACCACCCTCTCTCCCCCAGACTGTAGCAATGACTTCCTAACTAGTCTTATTTCCAGTCTTGTCTCCTACGATTCGTTCTCCATGTCGTTGCCAAGGTGATCTTTCAACACATTAATCTGATCAAGTGTCTACATAAAACATTCCTGTGGCTCCCCATTGGCTAAAGAATAAAGTCCAAACTTGTCCGTGCTCTATGACCTCTCAAGCTTCATCTCTTGCCGTTGTCCTCCTCATATTCTTGCTGAGCTAAATTACTCTCAGTTCCTCAATCATGTCATGTTGTCTTTTGCTTCCAAACCTGAGGGCAGGCTGTTCCTTCTATGCAGGCTGCCTGGCATTCTTCTCCCTCTGTTTATATTGCTTTCTCTCCGTTTAGAGTTCAACTCCTATGTCTCTTTCTCTAGCTGGGATCAAGT